TGCAGATGCGGGAGCCAGCATGACACCCCACAGCAACAGCTCTTGGTGGAAACAAGCAGCTCAACAACAGGCACCAGCTCACTTCAAAGGCTGCTACAAATTGGTAGTGCAGACATTCTGCCAAGTGTTTGTTCAAACGGTGACCAGCTGTCAGTCAATCTAAATAATGATAATAAGGTAGAATATCAAGAAAACTCAGTTGGCAGGTCACTACTATTGTGGCATGGCCCACGGACCTCAAGTCTGCTATGTTTTTAATCGATGAAGCAGTTGCATTTGTTCATCTCCATGTTCCTCTCTTCTTCCTCAGCCAAGTGCAGCTCATGGAAGACCCCTGGTTTTCTGCTCTCCTTGCTTGCTGCCCAGAGCAGGAAAATGCAAACCCATGCAAAAACAAAGGGCAAGTAATACAGGCAGAACCAAGATTCTGCTGTAATAAAGTATCAGTGCTGCCATTATAGCAACAGTCATAACAAGCACCAGTGAACATCAGGCTCCATTAGGCACGTCAGCCTGCACATTGGGTATTTGCAGTGGTTACAGATTTCCTAGTGCCCACCAGGCATCCATTCATTCACAGTCCTACAAACAACCACTTGCCATCAGCAAAAATTTGGGAGGTACTCAGTTGCCTGGCTTTTGCTCCGTTCTTCTCTTCTGTGCCTACAGGAATACCAAAGCAGGGGATAAATGTGAAACCAGCATCAAACAGTAAAAACTTGGTCATATTCAGATGGATACCCTCACTGGGATTAAGAAATTAAACACTTTACTATCAGCAGAACTCTTTTCACCCAACAGTATGATATAAATAAGGTATTTCAATGTGGAAGGCAAACATTTTATCCAGTTGGAAATAGCCTTTGGCAGAAACGTATGGATGGAGTTATGTAGGTGCTAGACCCGTCTGAAACATCATCATTGCAGGGGGGGGAAAAGAAGATTAAAAAAAAAACATACACAGATCATTAATCTTTGAGACTGACACCTTTTCAACTTGACAAGAAGCCGTCTTAACAAGTAAGGCCATTAACAAGTATTTAGATAGAAGCTCTGAGAACAGTGGCAGTTGTTTGTATTGTAGCCCCGTGGAAAAGTAGTGGGAAGGCTCCCAGGTGAGAAGCACTATTGCTGGAGAAGCATAAAAAAAAGGCTACTAGACAAAAATTCCTCACCTGACTTGAAGTTCGATGAAAAAGAGTTTGGATATTGAACCGATAGAACTTAATTTCACAAAATCAACACCGTAGCACATGGCATTTTTCTAAAAGCCTATCTGCAATGGAGATGTGCCAAGGTGCCAGTGCACTTCTGGCAAGGACAACCGCAGCAGGTGATTCGAATTTATGCTGTGTAAAATTAACTTGTCGATGAAATGAAAATTACGAACCAAAATGGAAAAGCATTTACATGGCGATCCACCTGTACCATTTGTTTAAAAAGTGTCAAGTCCAGTCCAGTGAATGTAAAGCAATGTTCTGAAGAATTCACAGACATAAGGGCTCTGCTGTTCCAGCAGCTGCCTTCTTGTTCCCAGATCTTTCCCACTTGAAACCTAAAGTGTAAAAATTGCAAAGGCACCTACATACTGAACTACCTTTGAAAAAAAATTAAGAATATACAAAACAAGTGATGTACTGAGCAATTTCCCACCAGCAGCTGACTGATGCTCAGTGAGTTCCTGACAAGCAGTGCTCCCTTCCAGCAGCTCTCCTGTTTTATTGCTGATCACAGTGCCACGTGGTATGGCATATCCTTTGCCCAGACTGGGTCAGCTGTCCTGACTGTGTTGTCCCCTCCCAGCACCTCATGCACCCCCAGGTCATCTTCACAGGAAGCACAGCACAAGAAGCTGAAAAGTCCCTTAAATGCGAACACTTCTCAGCAACAACTGTAGTATGTTATCAAAATCATTCTCATCCTAGATCTAAAACAGAGCACCTTCCCAGCTTCTAGGAAAATTAACTTGATGTTGGCTGAAACCAGGACACACTGCAATGGGAAAAGTGTTCCAAACAGAACAAGACACTTCCACTTCAAATGCACATTTCACTTTAGTTCTAACTGAACTAGACTGAATAGTCTAACTGAATAGCTAGTGATACCTGCTACCTGGCTTTGCAGAGCAAGGTTCTGAAAATTAAGGCAAAAAGGAAACTAAATACATTCCCAACATTTACGGTCCAACAGAAATTTCTTCTGAATTCAACATGCTGCTTCTTGCATAAAGCTATGAAGCACAACGTGTTAATATTCTTCCAAAATAAGCCATTTCATTTGATCTAATGCGACTGTGCGTGCTCTAATATATAAATAACTATGCAGTAGTTATTTGTAATCCTACTTAGTTCCTAGCTTCAACACAGTAGACTGAGTCTGCAGTTGTGTACGCACAACTGTGTTCCTCGTTATTGATTTTGAGGGTGTTGCCTTCCATTTGCATTTCTTTGCAATTTCTTTCCTTACAAAAATTAAGACTGCTTATTACAGCTCTGGTTTTCTGAAATGAAGAGTACCAACACTTGCTGCAGTTTACTGAACTGAGATAAGCTGGTATTACCCACAGAATTTCTCCTGACATGATGAAGACAGCATTATTCCACCCCAAGCCTACTGTGTTGTGTTTATAAACAGACGTAAGTTCTGCTACAGCCCATTCCATTTTCTCCAAGGTTTAAGTGCTGAACAATTTACTGTGCTGAACTATTTCCACCTCACTGTGACACCTGAAGATGTATTCTTTTCTCCACTTCATTTGGCATTACTCAGTGGTCCCAACAGAGCTCTGGCATAGTTTGTATCAATATTCACCTTTTTTGATATTTAATACTTATTCCTACTTCCCCTTCCTCCCATCTTATCTGATTTCCAGCAATTCACAGTCCACCTTACTGCACACTTCATGTTTATGGCAGCTTCTCAGAGAACTTCAGGATTTGTGAACATAAAGATCAAGATAATTTCACTTGAATGTGGATCTCCTGAAGTAATTTTAGTAGATTAATAGGTTTACATTTTTTGCCTACATGTGCATTCTTTTGTACTTAATACATTTAGTATACTGTTTTAAAATATAAACACTTATCATCTGGCATAATGTTTTATATAAATATATATTTAATTTACTAATGCGCCCAGTTATCCTTTCATTCTAGAAGGGTTGTTTGAATCTAGAATCATAGAATGGCCTGGGTTGAAAAGGACCACAATGATCATCCAGTTTCAACCCCTTGCTATGTCAGGGGTCACCAACCAGCAGACCAGGCTGCCCAGAGCCACATCCAGCCTGGCCTTGAATGCCTCCAGGGATGGGGCATCCACAGCCTCCTTGGGAACCTGTGCCAGTGCGTCACCACCCTCTGTGTGAAAAACTTCCTCCTAATAACCTAAACCTTCCCTGTCTCAGTTTAAAACCATTCCTCCTTGTCTTATCACTATCCACCCTTGTGAACAGTCATACCCCCTCCTATTTATACGCTCCCTTCAAATATTGGAAAGCCATAATGAGGTCTCCCCAGAGCTTTCTCTTCTCCAAGGTAAGTTTGGACTCATTGCATAGGATTTCACTTTCATTTTACAGTACAGCAACAGTTGCCCGTGTAGGAACATCAGCCATTCCCTCGAAATTTCTTCAGGGCTCCCAGCTGAATTCCACCTGGACTTGCTGCTGTAACAATTTCCCCTCATTTTATAAATTCAAGCATTGGCTCCTTGTTTGCAATCATTGTTTGGCCATTTATTTATTTAACCAAATGAAAGTATGTCTCAGCATCCTCTGTGGTGAGAACTGCAGAAATACGGTACCTTTGCATCAAGTCCCTGCCCTCCTTTATCAGCAATATTTTCTCAAAAATTAATTATTTTAAGTATTTTGAACTAATTTGAGGAAGGCTGAAGTAGGACTGTTTGCAGAGAGAGCATCTGTCCTGCTTCATAAAGGAGCATGTTTGCTTCCTTAGGTTAGAACACTGTGAAGTCAGTTTCATTTTGAACAGCGAGCCAACTTCTCCCTCTTTTGAGTCATTCACACAGCAGAAAGGGAAATACAATCACCTGAAAAGAAATATGATGGCAAAAATATCATAGCACTACAATAATTACAAATCATTTAATTCATTAAGTGCTCCTCTTTACTCTTCGGACATTTGTACTGTTTCTGCACACACACTGCTCTGTCAGTCTCTCACTTGGCTCTTACTTTCTATACTCTGTATGCAAAATGCCCAGTGTAAAACCTTTTTTATTAGTTTGCCATTGGTTGGATTTTATTTAGTAAATAATAATTACTAAAACATCTTGCTGTTTTTCGTCACCAGGCTCCTGTTGTGCATTCCTGCTTTTTGTTGTTTAGGGAAAACTGTTTCTTTTTTAATATATAACTTTGGTGGAAACACTCACTTTTGAATGGAGCGACCTCCTCTTGAGTTGTTCTGCTGGCATAATATCAGAGGAATAAGGTAATTTTTGTCACCGCCAATTAAAAAGTTTTACGAAACAGGACTGTTATAAAACAATTAAACCTTGCAAATGCAGTAGTCTCTAGGAGGGAAACCCTGGAGGAAATTCTGCTTATTAAAATTGCAATTTTAGTTTCCATTAAAAAGGAGAATAAGACAATACAAGATGGGCTGGCAAGACAAATTATTTCTTAATGTCAGTTGAGCTTATTTCAAATGAGATAACATATCTACACCAGGTTGGGTTCAACACATTGTTGCCTCCTCAACTCATTTATCTAATTCAGTCATCTTGATTATAGCCTCGTGGACCTACATTTTCAGAGGAAGAATTTTGTAACAAACAACCTACACAACATGCTGATTACTGAACAGTTAATTCTAATTAACTTGGCTATGGCAAGAGAATTTTGATAAAGTCCTAGAATGCAAATACAGCTTGGCTACCCTGGCCAAATTTCTATAAAATAAAAACTCACAGCAGAGTCTCCAGATGAGACATCAGAGTGATAGGGATCTAATTTAAAGAAACAAATGAGAAAATTAAAATCACAAATAATTTATTCTTCTGTTAGAACTGATGGAGTACAGTTTTAAACAGCAACAAAGTACACAGTGGTGGAAAATTGGCACAGAACCTACAAGCATTTCATTCATAATAATGCTCCTCATGCTGTAACTGTTCAAAACTTAATGTGTATTTTTTAACAACCAACTTTAAGAAAATTGTTTTCCCTTAAAAAATGATGAAATAAATGAAAACCTCGTTTTCCGTCTCTATTGTCAGAGATGTCAGGAATATCTTTTCTTTTTTCTTTTTTTCTTTTTTTCTCTCCTCAACATCATCTCTAAGTGAAAAAATAAGGTTTTACTCCTGGGCTAATCTTAAGTTTTCTCATGTCTATAAAAAGTTGCCAGGAATTCTGAAGGCATGTATTCCTGCACAAAACAATATTCATTTATTTATCTGATATACAGTTGCAGGACAGTCCCCAAACCAATTTTTTTGTGTACTATGCTACTGATCAAGGTGCTGCCTCTATCTTGCATGCAACACTATAAGCGTTAATGCAGTTCAAAACAAAATTTGGCATTGACCTCACCAACAGGTTTTTATTTTTTATGTTATAAAACACCCCTTGGTCTCACGTTAACCAATAAGAAAAACGGACACGCACAAAAAATGCCCCCTTTTCTAAAGATATTAACTCCCAGTTAGGAAAGTTTAGATAGGTTTTACAAAGTCTTCTAGGCTAATTTGATACGTACAAATTATAAACTAAAGGTTAAAATACACTTACACAATACAGTCCTGTCCTCCATACTCTTTTTCAAATTCTTTGCATATTTAAGCCAGGTAAAATTAACACTTGTCATTTTCTTTGTTATTGCAATTATTAAGAGGGATTACAGCTCGCTTATGCAAAGCTGTGACAAAACACCTGATAAATACAACCCAAACGTTTATCCTGTTACCCAAAAAATGTTGCAGAAAATTGTCAAACTATGTTAGAAATAGTTTTTACAAAAACGCTTCACTCAGAAAAATTGGAAAGCTTAAAAAATTAATCTTTGCACAAGACTATATTATACTGTCCTCACTTATGCTCCCATTTAGATAACTGGGATTCTCATTCTTTGTACATGAACCTATCAGTGATGTACGATGCTCTCCATCTTTTTTCACTGTTATCTTTATTGTACACCATTTTGAGACTTACAGAATCAAGCACTTATCATGACCCTACCCATTTTTAACAGTAGATTTCTTATCCTGTCCAGCGAGTAGTGTACTGTCTTGCATATTCACCACATGAAAAACATAATATACAAAATATTGCTGCTGTAAAAAGTGTGCATATCCCCTTCCCCCTACAAAAAAAATCTGTGGAAAAAATATTAAATTCCCATAACCTTCATAAACATACAAAGCTGTTCGCACCTTTCAGTCTGTAACAGTCTATTTGATACACAGTTCACAACTCACTGCAAATTGCTATGTCACGTATTTTCTGTCCAATATTGCCACCTAGAGTAGAGACGTGAAACCAGCTTCTGAGAATCTACAGTCTTTTAACAATTAACCCATGAAGACCGTATACTGTAAAACAGCCACAAGATTTTTTCCAAAAACTAGATGGAATGGGAGGTTTTCATCTCAGGAAGATGTCCACAGTGCTGAGAAGACAATATGGCTGCTAATAGATATTGCCTACCGGAATGTGAATACTTTTCACTGTTGGTAATTTCCATACTGACCCTAAAAAGGAAATTCAAAATACATAATTAGGCCAGAAGGTATATTTCCTCGTATTAAAAGCTCAAATCAGAAGATCTTCCAAGCAAACTATGACATTAAAAGCTGAACACAAACAATAACAAATGACAAACCAAGTTGATGAGGACAGAGCTTCATTTCAGTTAAAATAATTTGTGTTTTAAGGCAACATGGCATCCATCTAAAGCCAGCAATCAAATCTGATCAGAATAGTATGACTTTGAGCTTAATACACTACTGTGAAATTTGCAGAACACTACAAAAAAACGGAAGACAGAAATTGCTGCCCACCTAGACTTCAAAATCTATTTTAAAAATTTAAGGTCACCTAAATTCAAGTAATTCAAACGGCCTGTTTTTGGTGACACTTAAAAATACTCATCTATCAAAAATCACAGAAAAAGAGTGATACATGTAGCTCAAAAACCAAGGAACAACCTGGTGAACACAACTAGAAAACTTATCTTACAAGAATCAATTATTATGTACATCCAGTTGACAAAATTAGCTGATTCTCTCTATTTCTTTTGGCAGAACATCACATAATGCAGAGAAGGCAGAAGTGAAAGCTTCTTTCCTACAAGCCTAACAGGATCCTTCACCATAGCATTCAAGGTCTGCAGAAACAAATATTGCACTACTGAAGTGGATGTCCTCCGTAAGCACAGTCTCAATGCTATTTCATGTTAAGTACCATCACAATATGGCAATACTTTCAATTTCATTTTTATGTTGCAATGTCAATTTTTCCATTGTAATATACCAATCAGTCAGGTCAGAACAGCCGCCAGAGGAGAATTTAAGCAGCGGAATTCCTCTGGGAATGGCGAGCACAGAACTGCAAGGAGGTCTTCTATAATTGAGTTTTCCTGTCAAACTTAGACTGCGCATACAGCATTCCTACAGAGAGATCTATCTGTTATCTGTTATCTCAGTTTCTAAGAAAGTTGGAGGAAACTCAGCAAAATGAACCTCAGTTCCCTTGACCCTACATGTGCCACAACCAAAGCATATTCATGCAGCTAACACTTTTCGTGAGGGAGTTACTGCTTTAGTGCGTAAGTACTTAGTTTATCTTTTAAATAATTAGGAAAAGTAACTGCATCTCTCAGCTACCCCATAGAAAGAGTTTGCCTGTTTCTTCTTCCTTGTCTTTTTCAGTTTCTGTAGGGAGGGAGCCAGCTGTCCTCCACTAGAAACGCAAGTATTTGGAGTTTATCTCACTTCCAAAGAAAGTTCTTAAGAATTCGATTCTTATTCTACTGACATATCAGGATTTTTTTAAACACTAAGATTTCAACTGGATCTTAAATATATTTTGCCAGCTCAATTCTATTTATGCCAAGGAAAATAATGCTGTGTGTTTCAATGACAATTCTGAGCTTTTTATATCGCAAAACTTTTATTTTTACAGTTGTGTATGTTCTATAGGAATAAAATCTACGTTTCATTCAACAGTAAGATAGCAGTTTTTTTACAAGAGTCCTCTGGTACAACTCCAGCCTAGAGTTTTGATGGGGTATTCTTGTTTGTTTTAAACTTATCCTAGCAGAGATGGGAAAGAAGCCAGTAATTTTCACATTACATTTTTCTCATGTATTCCTTTTTACTCTTTAGAGGAAACCTGTGCAAAAATAGTTTCCTACCTCCCCACACAGCTATACAAGTAAGACGGACTTTAGCTGTACACGAGAGGTGCTTCTACAGCTGCGAGGATTACCAGATTTGTATTTGTGGAAAAATCAATTGAACAATTCAGCACAAGATTAAGGGATTTAGAAACCTCAACTTTCAGATTTGTCATTTCATAATCAGCTATGAAACAGATGAACTTAATTTTTAAGGTCTCACTTTGCCAAACTGCCTTAAACTTTGCAAGCTCAAAAAAGAATAACTAGGTACACTTCTAGACAAACATTTCTGGATAACTCTACAATTAATAAATTCTTGAGAACTGTGCACACATGCCAGAGAGACTACATCCCTAAATTCATCAGTTAACATGTCACAAGAAACCAAAAGTATCCAGTGAATGTGTAAGAATCACAACTTTCTGACTGAGTGAAAGAATACCTGGTCATATCCGTAAGGCCTCTGCTGTGGTGGCTGTGGTGGCCCAGGCTGTGTGGGTCTGTATCCCCCATACTGCTGGCCTTGTCCTTGTGGATAATTGGGATACTGAGGTCCAGGGCCACCCTGCGAAGGGCCTGAAGAACATTAAAATGGAAAAAAGAAAAAAAAGGGAAAAAAAAATTAAGACTGCTTAAGGAATCAGGAAGAAAATGGTACAAGTATTGGGTTTTACAACTGAGCAAGGCTAAGAAGTATCTCTACCATGAAATCAGGTCTTCTGTCTAAAAGCATTATCAGGGACAACGCTTCTCTAATCCCAGAAAGCACCTTAGCTGACAATGCCTGTTGTGCTCCAACTATAGAAAATTTACAACTTTTTTTTTTTTTCTAATTACCAATGGATGCAGTTCCATACATAAGGTCTAGAGAAAAAGCAAGATGTGACAAACCATGAACAAGAGCACTCTCCATGATTTAGGGAGGCTCACTCTTCTCTTACTGTATGCTACTCCAGTTGGCAACTTCATTATGTGAGGAACAGCCAGATGAACAATTGCATTTAGTGTTTGGACTTTCTGAAGAGACCAGTAATGCTGTACTGCCATAAAGTCAGTTCTCACATCACAGCAAGCAATCATAAACGGGATGTGAGGAAAGCAAGTTACATGCATAAAATGTGTGATGTCACAACCGGTAAATGCTACTGTTGGAAGAAAAAAGGCACTGCCTACCTCCCTCTCCTCTCATCACCTTAACTTTACAAGAACAGGATAGAAAAGAACTTCAGCTCCAGCCTCTTTTGGCTGTAAAAGGAAGCAGCTCTTTTGTCAAGACAAACTTTCTGTCACTGCTCACAGGGACTAAGCCAGTCAATCAATGGAAGCTGTATGTTACTACCATCAGGCACTGAAGACATCTTTCAAAGAAAATTAAACTCATCCCCTTCTACCTTGGGAGATGTGATGTCCTGTATATTTCAGAGATACTAGATACTTCAACACCACCTGCTAAAAACTGGCAGACTCAAGAAGAGCTGTAACTCCAGAGAAGTATTTTAGAAAAAACTGGTGTTTTTTTGTGTTTTTTTTTAATCAGAAAAAACAAGTTCTGTTTTACCAAGATGACTCAGCACAAGAGAGAGAGGGCTGTTCAAGCTACAGGGACTGGACATTAAAACCACATCAGCCTGTAACTCTTTTGATAATTTCGGATCTATGAGACAATCAGAAAGATGACCTAGCAAAGACAAGTTCCTTAGCACATTACCATTCTCCTCAGGTCTCAAATCTCCTTGAACTACACAGCTTCTGCATTGAACAGTGGAAGAAAACCTTAAAGATTGATAATAACGACCGAGATCCTGCTTTATTTTTGCAAATTAGAAAGCAATTAAATATTAAATCGAGCAAGGGTATTACATCCTAAAAAGTGCTGTGTTCATCTGACAAATGAAGCTTGGCTTTTATTTATTCATGGTAATACTTTATGATTGAATTCTAAATATTCAGTAATAAATTCTACAAAATGAAGTGGAATCTTAATTTGGAGCTTCAGTGTCTATTTTTACTTATTAAAAAAAAAAAACTAAAAAAGCATGATTTTTGTGTTTACAAAAAAGTAGCTCCCACAGACCTCTTCATCCTTTTGTTCTAGTATCTCTTCACCTAAATTTTCAGAACATTCGACTTCTTTACTTAATCACAATAGAGAGCTAGATAGACTTTCTTTCTAATCTTCATTCTGTTCCTATAATAAGCTTAGCAGAATAAGTACACAAACATCATTTTGGAGCTATAATTTTTTCCATAACATTCAAAAGGAGGAAATTTTATAAATGTTAGAGGATCATCCTTAAAATTGTCTCAGTGTAATTGGATTTGGGGCAAACCTGGCATTTATCTACACAGTAGTCACCTATGGACTTCCACACATTCCCACAATGCCGGAAGTCTTTAGCACACAACCTACTAGAAAGCTAAAGTTAAAATATATGTGATTAGATTTCAGAGATCTCTTCCTAGATGTTGCATCTCTTAAGACAAATATGTACAGCAATAAGCAAAAACAAGAGCACTATTTTTAGTACTATCTGCTGTCTTACAGTTATCACAAACAGTGCACAAAAATCGCATACTACTACTTTAAGTTTCCTGTTTGGGTGTTCTCCTTGAATTCAAAGAATTCATCATTTAACTTGTGGCACATTTCTCACTCTTGCCATACATTACACAGTTTGCACAATTAGCACAAGCATTTGCAAGACAAATCCTTAAAAACATTATAGGTAGTGGTACTGCTCTTTTCTTTACTTGTGAGTACAAGAATTCCAATAGAATGATTCATCCATGTTGGATGAAATTTAAAAAGAGGTTTTGTTTGCTGTTTTTAAAGATTTTGTTGTAAATGCCAAGCCCAGAGATGAAGTGGTGCAAGTGGCCAACTCTGTGCCCTCTAGACTGTGTTCACCAAGAGGACAGAATAGAGAAGAACTTTTCTAAATTACAGACATTTCTGAAAATAGTATCTAGACATTGCTCAGCTTGCTGTGTAACCACTTTGTCCAATCTTGCCAACAGATCTACTTGCAAACAGATGCTGTCTCTACACTTTCTTCTTTTGCTCCATTGAAATTGAGAGCAAACAGCTTTCTTGCACAAGCCCGGCCTTTCAACGCAGTACAAACAACATGCAATAACATATGAAGACCTCTTAGTGCTATCTCTGATTTCTGCCTGCACCATCAGCTTCTTACCATAACCCTGCTGTTGTCCAGGATAGCCTTGTTGGCCTGGATATTGCTGCTGTTGTGGTGGATAACCCTGTTGTTGGGGTGGCCCTTGATATGCATCTTGCTGCTGACCATACTGTGAGTTTCCTGTAAGATTATTGTGAGAAAGAAGAAACAACTGAAGGTGCTTACTTTATTAAATATTTTTCCTTTTAAGATGCACAGCCAACAACACAAGAACAAAATGAAAATGCAATATTGATTTCAAAAACTGAACAAAACAAAGAAAACTCAAACCAAACAGAAGGAATTCGGCCAAACAAACTGCAGTTAAAGCCAATTTTGCAAAGTTGAACTGCAGCATTTTCAGCATCTCTGCCAAAGGAGCATTGCATTTACTGGAACATCACAGTCATAAGATCATGACTATACTAAATAAAATAAAAAAGACAAAATTAAGGACAGCTACAAGAGCACAGACTAGCTACACAAGATCAGCAAGCTGTTTCCTAACGGCACTATAATTACAGAAAATATATACACGCACAAAAAGATTTAGAACTGAACCAACAAATTTATGTTTAAATAAAAATTTCCATTGAGATTAAAAAAAAAAAAAAATCTCTGAAGTGTTTTAGTCATTTTACTGTTGTTAGAAATGGCAAATTATGGTTATATATTTTAGGTGTTTGCAAGAAATTATTCTGAATGCTTCGAGTTCCCTGCAATTCTCAAGACAGCCAGCAACTAGTATTCTACAAGAGCTTTGCATGGGTATAAGTTGTGTTGTGCAAGAATTTTTGTTCCCGTTGCGGGTGGGGGAGGAAAGGGAATGTATGTGCGTATGTGTGTGAAGGTATATAGATACCTCCTTCGTAGTAATGTTGTGAGGAATCCTCATAAGGCCTATCGTAGCCTTGTTCAGGATACGACGGTTGCTGATAACCGTAATCATTATGACCTACATCAATTCGACAAGAGACAGGAAGAAACGTTAATGGCCTCTGAGTGAAAACCCTAAGAATATTTCATTTCTCAGAAAAATGAAAAAAATTTCAACTGGATATACATGAAAAATATTTTTCAATTGTATTAGCTAAAGTTTTATTAAGATGATTTTCTTTCATATTGAATTAACATGTGACAGGAAAAAAAAGCTTAAAGCAGTAGTTTTAGCAACATCACAGCAAAGGATGATCTTAACCTTCTGCTAATTCTTGTTGGGGAAAAAAAAAGTACTTCATCTTTCACTCAAAAAGGGAAAAAAAAAAGCATTTAGGCCTTTCACATGTAAATAACCTGAATTAAATTAGAATGAACAAAGAAAGCAATTATCATACTTTGTCTAACACCTGTTCTGCTGATCTCCAATTCGAAAGCATATGCTAAAAGCAGTGTGAAATAAAACAAATAAAGCTCAATGAAGTTATGAATTACAGTCTATATTAAACTTTGCTTTGAAGTGACAGAAAAATAACATTCTCAACGTCGACGTTTCCCTACAAACGTAATTTCTACAAGCCTTAGTGAACCTTTCCTCTTCCTCCAGTCCTGAGCAGAATCATTACAAATGTACTTTTCAATTCAGAGACAGTAGGTATCTCCAATCGTGAAACCAATACATGCAGTCAGCATCTCACTTGTTTGCTGTAGGAGTAAGTACATCTTACAGATGAAAAAAACATACCGAGTTGCTACTCTGGTCAAGAAATGAAGCTGAAATTTTGTTTAAACTCTGAATAAAATTAGATCAGGTAGCTAGTATAGGAGGAAACAGTATAGTGGTCTTTGTAATTAATTCTGGAAGTGTACAACACTTCATAGACGTAACCTAATAAAATACACAATCATTAACACAAGCTTTATTATACAATGTATTTCAATAGAAGTGTGATAAAGAGGTAGCGATAAAGAAAGAATCTTTAGAAGGAATAATTCTCAGTAATTTCCTCTGTGCTGCCACAGATCTGTCAGTGGTAATTTCCAATTGCCTTCACTATAGTAAATATACTGTAATCATTTAAAGTTCACGTTTATAACATGCAAGTTCAAAAATGAAAGCTTAATAATTATGAATTATGCACACTGTAAGAAAACTTTACACATATATCTCCAAAAAAACCACATGTAAACTTATATAAGCATGGCTTGTTGTATCTCAAAATTAATTTAACAGAAATGAAAATTCGGATAACTAACTTGTGCCCTTTTATTTGCAATGAGCAATGGCTTTAACAATTACACTGCTTAGCTTTGTGTATGTTTTTTTTTTAAAAGACATTAACATCTACCACATTCCTTGAACTTCTTACAAAAGCATTATGTACCACACACAATTCTCACAGTAGTCATGACTCAACATTTTTGTTCTCCCAGTCTCTGTCAGTCTAAGAACAGGTCAATTGTAACTTTTCTAACTTATAACACAATACAATAGCCTTCAGCATTCTAAATTCCACGAGGTAGGAGGACAGATTTATGCAATTCAAAGTTTTGGTCTTGCCTTGAAAGCTCTGGGGGGGGGGACTTCTAAGGAGGATTCACAATTACAAGATCCTCAGGGCAGGGACCATTCCATTCCTTTGTGAAAATTACACTGAAGGCCCAGACCAATAGAACAAGAACGCAAGTGCGACATGAAAACTAAGCACTAAGTTAAAAAATAGAATATTTATAGAAAAAAAAAACACATTTCTTAAGCAGCAAGTTCTTCCATTTGAGTAGAATCTTTATTAAAAGGATATCACCCCCTCTTTTATTTGTAATGAAGTTATGCCTTAATTCATCTCAATTATACTAGACATACTAAAGAGCCCTCCTTTTAGATACACCAATTACAGATTTTTTACTTTGAAATACTAAACTGTTGTTATAGTTTCAAATGGGAGTATTACAAATTACATACTCTAAACTTCAAAATTGACTACTCATAGTAACTTAAACTGTATAAACGATTCTGAATTTGGAAGCTTTTGTAAATGTGAGGTACGATATTCCATTACTACTTATGCCCCACTCCCTAATTGTGGGCATATCTGCATTAATATTGGGCAGGTATAGAAAATGGGAAAGTCAACATTTATGAGAGATTACCATCAGGGTAATATTGCTGGTTCATGCCTTCTGGAGGACCTTGTCCACCATGACTGTATTGGTCCCCATAATAGTCTTCCTGGCCTGAGTACTGCTGTGGTGGGCCTGAAAAACCACAACCAGTCAATACGTAAATAACTTGTTTTCTCTATTATAAAGCCTACTATTTTCTGATTTTACTATGAGAAATATTTCTCAAATGTACTCCCCACCCATATCCTTGCATTTCAGACAACATATGTAATCTCTGTGACTTAAAAAAAAAACAAAAAACAAAAAACACATCTCTATATAATTTTACACACACAAGCATACAGTCGTTCGGCTGCATCAGATTGAGCACACATACACCAAACTTCAGTTCTGAGATCATTTTAGGAACACATGTATAATAGCACCAAGCATTAAAAATAAAGATATTCTTTTTCTAAAAGGACTGGGGAGAAAGAAAAAAAAAAAAGGAAAAAAAGGAAAAAAAAGTAGAAAAAGAAAAAAGCAAGGCTGCAGAACACTGTTCCTTTTTTGTAACCGAGCAAATTCAGAAACAGGTAGGTACTTGGCTCTTTTTCTCCTATCATCTTAATATTGAAACAGTATCTGAATCAGCATGAGATGCATATGTTTAGATACTTTCTGTCAGAAAGAAAACAAAAGAAACACTTGTATTCAAGTTAAGTTGTGATACCAGTAACCTGTTGCTACAAGAAACAAAAAAAAAAAGAGTCTGCAAAGTCTGTAACTGGAACACCCAATGATTTCACTGAGATTTGGTGTAAGCAAGAAAGTGATTTAAAATAATTTCAAAGATGGATATTTAAAATCGATGTAAGAACACTGAAGTGAAGTCCTACCTTGTTGTGGCGGTCTGTATGGAGGAATCTGTCTCTGACCCATCATGTGATTGCCTTGGTTAACTTGGCCCATCATTCCCATAGGTGGTTGCTGCCCCTGGTAATGCTGGCCACCAGCTTGTGGCATATTGTATTGCTGGGAAGGAGGCTGCTGGTGCATCATTGGACCTATAAAAGAAAAGTAACAAGTGTGTCTTCTGTAACTCCACCATAAAAAGCAGATCAGAAGTCTCTATCTTCAGTTCTTTCATGCAGATTGATTGTTTCTGCACCTATGCAAATGTACACAATGAATTCAGCAACTAAGTTATGAAAGAGAACTCACACTATGTAGGACTGCTTTCTAGATGTCTTTTTTGAACTACAGACACAGTTTTGCTCATAGACAAATAACTGAAATGTTCTTCACTTTTCTATGTTTGTTTAAAAAAGAATCTGCAAAGAAAATGTATATTACCACCTGATGGTGAAACCTCAACAAGTTGTGGAAACATTATTTAACATTATGAACTCCTTGGGGCATAGTTTTAATACACGTGTAGTTGTTGTTATAGCCCATTAACAAATCACCTACCTGTTATCACAAAATAAACAATTTTATTAAGCCTGTAAAGACAAACGACTTGCATGACTAAGTCAGACAATATGCAAAAAGACCCACAGGAACATGTGCTCTGACCACCACACAATAGTCCCACATAGCCTAGTATGAAAATCTTTCAGTACCAAGCTTCTGAAAATTTCTATGAGCCACAGAAAAAGAACAGAGATCAAGTACTGCCTATGTTTTATCAACCAAGAAAAACTGGTTAAGGCTGAACTTGTAGTCATGTTAATGAGTAATGAAAACAGACAGTTAAAGAGTGACCTACTGACACAATATTGCAAATGAAAATGATGACCAAGCCATTTCATATGAATGTAGGTTATACTGATAAAACCTCTAACAAAGAATAGCTTCTTCACTTCCTCAGAAGAGTTATTTCAGTATTAAAATATGAGAAGAGTTGTGACAAGGAGCTAAAAATTTTTAAACAATCTACTTTTATAATATATCAACTGAAAAAAAGCACATTGCACACTGTAATTACACACAAAGAAGAGAAAGTAATTGGTCTCACTGAAAAAAAAAAAATCAAAACAAATCAAAATATCAGACCAGAACAACCACACTTTGTCTCCATTCCAAGAGAAAAAGGCTGCCATCTACTTGTACTGTATGCTAGTTTCTGCCATTGCATTTCTTTTTTATTATTTCTGTTATGAACACGGTGCTAGAGCACTAGTAAGTCCTACGTTAGACCTAAGTGCTACAGAACTAACTAGGTCCTCTCCATGTGGGGTTACAAGAGAAAGTTAAGCCAAATTAATGGTATGAATTCAAAGTGTGTTAGTTAAAGCCATTGAACCCCTGTGTGGAATCTCTCAGTGATAAGTGAAGTGGCCTTAGTTCTGTTAAGCTTAATTTTCCTCTGAAGATAAATACTGGCCACTCTTAAAATGATCTTGTTCTGCTTCTACTCTTCAGGATGACAGTTTCCATGTTCTGATTTTAAAGTTTAAAAAAAAAAGAAAAAAGGTTTATATTTGGATACTATAATTATTTTTCACTTAAAAATAAGTTTCATTTTGATTTTCTGAATAAGGAGGTAATTTAGATCATTCCGTTTCACTGCTTTTCTGCTTAGAGATACTGAGAAAGATGAGGCACCCTTTAAAAAAATAAAAAGTTCCTGCCATGATATTCCTAGATCAAGAAAGCTTGTTAATTAACAATATTAATATTAGTCACAATACAATGTGATAAAATGTGTTGGGTCCCCATGGTGCAATGTAGAGGTTTTCTGTTTGCTTTTTAAATTAGAACTTCATTAACGCTTTGTAGAGCCACAATGAGAATTCACTGCCCTGTATCAGACTGTGTGTTGTGTTAATAACTGAGCGCCTGGCTTCCTTCCAGTTTGGTTCACAACTCCCTCTCACTACGAAGATAGCTAGGAGAACAACCACGGTCTCCATCATCTCACACACCAGAAACATTTTATGTAGAAGTTTTGAGGGGCGGGGGGATTTTGAATTTGCTTTTTCTTTCGGAAAGACCTAAAATGAAGCTATATTTATTCATCATACAATGCTTATATGGCACAATTGTAACTAAGAGAACCCCTTCACAAAGCTTAAGTTAAAAGCCTAAGATCATCAGTTCACGATCTAAACATAACTATCATGACTATTAACTTCAGGGAGACAAAATATCTTATTTGCACAGAGCCCAAAGAGAGTGCAAGAAAATACTGTATAGAGCTTCCACTGTGAATATGCAGGAACAGGGACTGACTATGGACTTTCCAGGAAACTAACTTGGCAGTAAAACCTCAAAGAACTACAATGTTTCTGTATATTAAAGACATCGCCTTCACATGCTAATACACTGGAAACTTTCTTTGGAAAAAAAAAGCCTGAATACAAAGATAAAAGGAAATAATAATATTGCAGGGTCTGTGAAGAATGTGGCTAATTTGAAAAACACCAAATACAGATCTATATCACGCGTATAGAGTGAGTGAATGTATAAGGGAAGTCAGACAAAAGGTGGAAACCCAACTATTCCTTGTAAAATTTAATTTAAAAATTTAATCAAAAATAGTTTACGTTATCACGCTGGCCTAGTGGTTGGCACCCCTGAATGCAGCAAGGGGGTTGAAACTGGATGATCACTGTGGTCCTTTTCAATTCAGGCCATTCTATGATTCTGCGATTCTAAGATGCTGCTCAGCTCAAATAGCCTTCTGCACCTACCCATAAAAAACCTGTTCCTGTTCCAGACACTGTTTCGTAAGAAGGACTGATATACAACAAAGAGAAGGTATGACCATTTAAGTAAAAATAGGTTGGTTCCAGATCTTTTTAAAAATCATGCTAATCTTGGGGCAATTTCCTGACAAGAAACTACCTAAGGAATCCAACAACGTAGCTGTTGGACACACAAAGCAGATAGAGAGAAAAAGCAAAGTGGGCCCTAGATAAACCTAATAAATTTAGGAAATGCACTGAGGATGAATGAGATGCTCAAAAGTTTAGCAGTTTAAAATGTCTACTTAGCCTTGTCTTCTGCTGAAACACGACAACTGATGGCAAATGCTACAAGGGGGCAAGAATAACTGCTAGCATAGTTGAAAATTCTGGAGGAGAAGCAGAAAAATGAGAATCTACACTCCAATGACTCCGTGTTCCAATTCAACAGCTAAAGGAAAGGCTGGCTGTAACAGAAAAGTAAAACAAGCTGTTGTTTCTCTAGTCTTCAAAACTAAACACTTTTTGTTGCTAAAAAGTGTCTCTTCTTATAGCATCAATAAAGCTACTGGATGCTCTCATCCAGAGTATTAACAAAAAACACCATGCCAGGAGCTAAATCTCACCTTGGAGTCCACTGCTGGACAAACAAAACGTAAACCTAGCAATGCAGCAGCACTCAGCAAAATTTTGTTTGTTGTCACTGTTTTCCTTTAGGATTAAAAAAAAATATTACAGTAATTACTTGCTTTAAAACATATATGTTGATAATTCTTGCAAAAGTGAGGTGAGGAAATCTAGCAAAGGGCAAATTTAACTTTAATTTTTCTCAAGATTATTGACAGTCTAGTTTTTCTATGCCATAGGATAGTTTTTGCTACTCCTAATAATAGGCTGCAATTAAAGGCAATGGAAACTTCTCCACACTTGCTTTCTCCACGAAATTTTTCCTAAACTGAACCATTATTTCAGATGTCATTTAAGGCAAATAAAAAAGACAAAAATGTTAAAAAAAAAAAAAAAAATCCACTAGTTACCACTGTTGCCTTTCATGTCTCTTAAGGAACAAACATGATAGAACTGTGACATTTGTTTGTCTTCTTTTATTTTTCATGATAGGAGAACTGCAGTGTCATCCACAGCTAGACAAGCTACAAAGCCAGCTATAGCACACCAGCACTTCAGAATTTAGAAGCAATTTTCTTTTTCCTGAATACCTTACATGTCCAAAACTTTATGATTGTCCTGCTTACTTGATGGCACCTGTACAGCTACTGTAAAGCAGTTCAGGTACTGAAACAAACATACTTTTCTTCCATGGGAATGAACAGGCAGCAAGAAATTAATAAAAGATCATCAACCTCACAAAAGATTTTATCCTGATCTGTTATACCCTGGATATGTTTCTATTTCAGATAATACTGATGTTCCCATCCTTCTGTTCCTTTCACTCTACGGTCAATGAAAGGAGATACAGGATTCCACACCAGCCTAGTCAGCTGTCTCTGTGATCCATTCATATTTGTTTGTAATACAAAGAGCTCTGAAACTTCATAGAATTTTCCTAAAGTCACATCAATGAAATTGTCATTAAAAATGTCTCAGCATCAGACTACACAACTGGTCTTCTGCAAGTAACTGAGTCAACACAACATTCTCATGTAGGGTTCAGCTGTTAAAAGGAAACCAGTCTTGCTCCCTCACCCCAAGCAATGTATAATGCTTATTAAATAATACCTGAAGGAGTCTGACACTTGCTTCAAGTTCTTCTTGCATGGGAACAGGATATAGCAAGATGATACGAGAAACAACAATAAGAAACAACAATTCTGAGATTGTCAAACTATTACTTCGTTGGTCCTTACTCTTAAAGCATTTGAGATATGAATCTATGACTGTGAAAGATCTTTTCAATATAAATAAAAGGAATTTCCATATTACAGAATCACACAGAATCACAGAATGGCCAGGGTTGGAAGGGACCTCAAGGATCATCAAGCTCCAACCCCCTGCCACATGCAGGGCCAACAACCTCCACATTTAGTACTTGACCAGGCTGTCCAAGGCCCCATCCAGTCTGGCCTTGAACACCTCCAGGGACAGGGCATCCACAGCTTCTCTGGGCAGCCTGTTCCAGCACCTCACCACTCTCTCTGTAAAGAATTTCCCCCTGACATCCTACCTAAATCTTCTCTCCCTCAACTTAAAACCATTTCCCCTTGTCCTGCAATTATCAACCCTTTCAAAGAGTTGATTCCCCTTCTGTTTGTAGGCTCCCTTTAGGTACTGAAAAGCTGCAATGAGGTCACCCCGCAGCCTTCTTTTCTGCTGAACAAGCCCAGCTCCCTCAGCCTGTCTTTGTAGGGAGGTGCTCCAGCCCCCTGATAATCTTTGCTGTTCTCCTCTGGACCCCTTCCAACAGCTCCCTGTCTTTCCTGTACTGGGGGCTCCAGACCTGGACACAGTACTTCAGATGGGGCCTCACAAGAGCAGAGTAGAGGGGGATAATCACCTCCCTGTTCCTGCTGGCCACCCCTCTTCCTCCCTTGTGAAAAGTCAAAAATTGACAAGAGTTAAAGAATTGCATTCAACATAAGTAGCTTCCCATACAGAAGCAAAAATGCATTTACAAAAAAGAAGCTTCCCCCTAGTCAATCAGCTCTTGTTGCTTCTTGTCCTTTCTGAAAGGGTAGCCAATATTTAATGTGGATGTCCCAGGCTGCTACAGCAGCTTTCTGAATAAGTCACCCACAGAATATTCTGCTTCTTAAGTGCAAAATGACTAAAACTCTATTGTAAGTAGACTGACCACATATGTGAAACTTTTTCTCATTTAACACATTTCTATGGCTAACATTTTATAAAGCTAGTGAAAATCAATAGAGTAGACCAAAAGAAAATCCCACAATGGCTTCTGTACTAAGTATTCAATTCCTTAATTAGCACTTCTTTATGCTTTTTCCTACTAACCGTGTATTTCTCAAAATGTGTACATGCAGTAAGATGTTTTGCTAATAGCTACACAAAAAACATTATGTTAAGAACACTGAAAAGTTAGATCAAATCTTTTCATGCATCTTCTATTATATGATAGCAGGCTTTTTTTCTACAAGTCCTGTCCTCATTCAGTAACAGATATTATTCACTGAAAAGCTATTCAATACTTTCTTTCCTCCTAATTGCTCAGCGTGAGATGCCATGCCAATTCAAACTCTGAAGACAGAGTTACAAATTTACTCATGGGCTTTCTTATAGTATTAATAACTAAAATGCCTAAATCTTCATAATGAAAATACTTTCACGACACTCCAGTGAAATCAGATGCTGTTATAATCTCACCATTCAACTCAGTCCTTAACAGATCAGGAATCCATACAGGGAAAAACTATGGTCAAAAATATCTACTAATTTCTAATAGCCAACTTGACATGCTAAGATTTTATCTTCTGGAATATTTAGCATTATATTGAGTTAGCGTTGTTGTTAACTGACAGAACCAGTAGAATGTCTTATTTTCAACAGAAAAGAAGCAAAATGTGATTATGAGTTCACAAATGCTTCTTAGCAGCAATACCAAAGTTCAGAAAATTTTGCCTCATTTCTGCTTCTGAATGGCAGCATGCAGTCCTAATGAAGAAATCAGGAAGTCTCAATCCACTTACTAACTTGCAGGGGAACTGTTAGGTTGCAGCTTTAACTGGTGATTGAGCACCCAGGCACAGGGAGCACACTGCTGGCACCTGTGCTCCGCATGTGACCAGAAGGGATGGACCCAGAGTGGAGCCAGGCTGCACTCATATAAGAGCCAGCCACTGAAGGGAAAGCAGCTCTTGTACCTGGGATACTTCCTAAGAAGGAGTTGTGCACTAGAGAGATCCTTCACTAGTTGCGTGAGTTTAACTCTTCTTTCTGCATACTGACATGCACGTGCTATAACACACATAAAACAATACATGACTGCTGCCTACCTGCAGATACTGTGCCTGGTATCACCAAGAACCTACCAGAAGCACTTTTGATTCTTTGTGAGCAGAATGTACCTTTTGCTTTAATCGCATCCCAATGCATTTCCTAACTGCTCATTCACTTAAATCAGAAGCCTGCAGTGACTGCATTTGGCTGAGTCCCTGTGCTTAGCCAGACTGGACCTTGGCCACCTACTTTTTTTATTACTATCTCACCACTCATAACAGACTTGCCTGCCATTTTTTTCCTCCTGTCTAGGAGCCATAAGAGAGGGAAAATACAAAAATGCTTCCACTAATTTGCCACAAAATCTCAGAACAAATACGACAATTAAGAGAAGAAGATAGAGAAAAGGGTTAAGTAAACTTGTCTAGGAATATTCCTGTATCAAAAAACTTAACAACCAGTACATTACAAGCATCCACAACTTCAGACAGAAGAGTATTTTCTCGCTGTTATTTGAAATTTGACTGATTTAGAACAGTATTTTCATTGAAACAGCAAAACAAACTTCCTGTTAAATTATCCTCCATTACTAATGAACCAGTTTCAAAGCCTTGCCCCAAAGCAAGGGGGCTGGACAAGCTGATCATTAAAGGTCTCTTCCAACACAAACCATTTCATGGTTTACACAATAAATGCTCTACTTATTAATGTTTTTTGTTTAACATTAATATTTTAAAGAATGAGTTTTTCACCCCACTCTCCTAAATGACTCTCCATTTCTGTTGAGCTTCCACAAAAATTACAGCCTTAACTAAGATGTAAAACCATGAGCCTAAACAGACAGAAGGACCTCTTGTGACTTTATGCGCAGGCAATAATATCAGCTCATGTTCTAACAAGATGTTTTGCTCTTCTTCTTGAACCTATAATTTGGTTAGACGCTGCTTTATTCCCAAAAGCCACTTCAGTGTTATTATTCGTTCAGAACAGAAATCTTTTAAGTATTTTTCTGCTTAACTTCTAATGAGCAACTTCCATGTTTGATAGAGTACTGAAAATACAACAGAGGAATATTACGAGGAAGAGTAAAGAGCACAGTTTTGAGAAGGAATAATCACTAGTCCTAAACTGTAAGACAGTCACACAAAGTAAGTTTTTTTTCTGTGGAGCAACTTAGTTGATGGCTCCTTCACAAAAACAGCTGCATATTTATTGCTAACGCTCTGCAACTAAGAAATTTCAACAGAATATGCAGGGCTTTTATAAAGCATCCTACAATGGTTACAAAACGACTCCATTGTGTATTGCATAGAATACACAGGTAACTTGAGAGTTGAGAATAAAAAATATTCACACTCATAATGGTTTCCTCTGCTATGTACCTACCTTTTTTTGGTTTACTGTTAAAATTTAAGAAAAATGCCAGTAAGAATGTGGGCAACAGAAGATTTATCAGACTTCCCACTTTCACTACTGGTAAGAAAGCTGCAGAAATAGCTGGTTTAGCTTGACTCATTTTTGGTTTCATATCATCTTCATCTTTCCTCTGTTTTGAACCTCTCAGTGACGTAATGACCAAACAGATCAGTGCAAATTGCTCTATTTGTACACCTCAGAAAGAAATGGCATCTATGTAAGAAAGTGGAGCCTATATCTCCAATAAAACCATATTGTGAGAAGAACCTGTATCACTGGAGTATTTTTTTTTCCTCCAAATGACTAGAAAGAGAATCCTAAAAATAGGAAAAAATGTTCTACAGCATCAGGAGACAAAAAAACCCAAATCATAGACTTCAGCTAATAAGTCTGTGTAAACTCATACAGATTAAAAAGGGAAAACAACACACAAAACCCAAACCCAACTTGCTGTAAGCAGAAGTCTTGCTTCTGCAAGATGTCTTCTATTGGGTTGTATGTCTAGATTCAGTGTAGAAACAAATGAACAGCTAAGCAGAAAATACCTCTTTTTTGCTGACTTGAAGACATTCATATAAATAAGCAGTATATATAGATTTTAATAATTTGGTCTGCTGTGACTCTAATACAATATTTTAGTTCGGTGATGTCTTTGCACTTCACCAAGGAGCATACCGTCAACAGTTTCTGCTATGTAAATATCCTAGATACAAAATTAGTTTTGAATTTTACTATATACACAAGGACATCTTCTGAAAACAGAACCAGGAACAATCCTCTACACTCTACTGAATTTTATTTCTTACAACTAACAGATACTCTGAGCCAAAACAGCATGCAGGAAAGAACAAAGATTAATTAGGTACAAAAATGTGAAGACTTGAATTTTTCACTTTGCCCAAGAGACTGAAGAGCACAGATATATTTTTATCAACTCAAACAATAACAACAGTTAGAAGTGTAAAGTCTGGGAAAGTTAAACCGTAGTTCAAATTTACAAGCTGTGAAAACAGATTTAAGCCCATCTCACAAAACACCAGAAAACAGTGTCTGCAAATATAAAAATTCATCGGCACATTGGAGAATAGAAATGTAGAGTCCTAAAAGATGGGACATGCATTTAGGGAAGGAAATCTACAAGAGAAGTTCTGTTAAGAAAAGTCTGAGTGAGAAGGTACTTTTTGGTAGAAGCAAACAAGCACCTCATTTACCTTGGTTTGGTTGCATGTTCATGTTTGGTCTGGGCCCATAGTTGCCCATCGGCTGTCCCTGGCTCATGGTCATCTGATTCTGCACTGGCATACTCTGTGAGGATGGCACTGAGTGATTATAGCCGCCCATCGACCCGTGGCTACTTGAAGGCATGTTCATGGAACTGTTTGTCATATTGAGTTGGTTAGGTCCAGGTCCTTGCATAGGCATATGGTTAGGTCCTTCAAAAAGAAAAGCAGGGGGAGAAAAAGGGTTCTGTATTAAGCACTATACAACAGACAAATGCAGTCACACCAAATTACAAAATTAAAATAAAGCCATTAAATACAACACGTTTAAGAATGTTTATCCTCTTGCACTTTCAAGACACCTTGCTGAAATAAACAAGCAAGCTTATTTTATCAAGGAAAGTGAAAAGAGTAATAAAGGTTTACTGCTCCTGCAAAACAAGATAAGCAGAGATTGCTGAATTGTACAAAGACAGATCCACCACAAACGCAGGAAAGTCAGTAAATGAAATGATAACCATGACAAAGAACAACAGTCAGCAATACTGTCCATCAATACTGTCTAACTGTGTTACACAGACAACAGAGAGGGAGGAGATCATGGCAAACCATGTGATCATCGCGCTGAAGTAAAGCTAAGGTGAAAAAAAGCTCCAGACTGTGGTAACAAGCAACTATGACAGGACTGCAAGAAGACTTCTTCCTCTGTTATAATTTCCTAAGGAAAGGAAGACGCAGGATTAGTGTCAGAAAGTAAGGGCATGGAAATGGTTTTGCTTTTGTTTTTTAAATTTCTTCTTAAAGGAAGAAATTGTCTACAGCAGATACTAGAGAGCTCACCAAGTACACAGTAGAATATGTTTTTGAAAAACAGTAATACAGGAAGTGGAACAGGGAAGACAGAAAGAGAGAAGTTGTTGAGCACATAAACCAGCCCCTTAGGGAAATTATTTTACACTTAATGTCTAGGGCAGCATCAAAACAGAAAAAAGCACTCAAGAAGCAGTGGGCAGAGGCAGTATCAGCATGTGTATTTTCTGGGATCAAAACCAGAATTTTGTTAATGTGGAGCTAGAGGAAAAGGACAGAGGTAAAGCTAAGATAATAGTATGGAAAAAACCTTGCAAATGATAAAGAAGAACGTATTTGAGAAATCACTGCCAATACACTTCAGTAGGTTCTCCTGCATATAAGGACACAACAGTTATTTTTTCTCAATGAAATATGAAGAACATGAAAAGAGGAATATGAATGAATGAGACAAGAAGTGCCTATCTGTCATTAAAGTAACTGCTTTAAATACTTTACTAATTAGATCCCGTGTTAAAACTAAAGTTAGTGGAATAAGTATCTTACCTAACTGATACTGAAGTTAACTCTCAAATGCTAATAGATAGCATCTTAGTCCTGAGACTAAGCTGTAAGTGCATTTGAGACTACATTTGTAGGAAGCAAAGAAGAATTTGGAAGAACTTGCTGGAGACATACAAGCAAGTATTATTCAGGAAAGATACCTACACTGTCAAGGTAAAGGTCACAGAACCTTACAGCTCGTCTTATCTTTCAACTTTTTACTTATCAAACAAACTGAAGAAATCAGGGAGAAAATTTGACATCAGCAAGAACATTTTTATCACCTCCTTCCAAATCCATGCCCTACCCTTAGTCTGCATCATAAATTCAATGAACAGAATTCTTCACACAAGGTTGTTTTGGTTTCTTTTTTTCCAGATAAAACCTATCATCTGTCACAGGTACAGATGCATCGAATTCCACTACAGGCTGAAAAAGGCTTGTCTTGACTGTCTTCACCAGTAAGAGGATACAGACACTTATCTGTCAAGGGAAGCAATTAAGGGTCTCAACAGTACTTCAGGCTCTTTATTAGCCAGAACACAAATGTAAGAAAAATCACCCTTTGCCCTTCAGGTAATGGGAGAGGTCTGTGGCAGAACTTTTCAGCAGTTCATGCACTGTTACTAGAGAGCTCTTTTAATCATCCCATCAGTCCTTCCACTCATACTTAGTCCTCTGGAAGCACCTACTTGGATGAGGCCTACCAGAAATCCTTAGCTAGCAATTTTAAAAGCCTAAAATTTATTTCTTCCAGGCAACTTGTGATTTTTGACCCTGGATTCTCATGTCTTGCACTGAACTCCTTCAGGACAGATAATCTCTTCAGTTATTTAAAATTTTGTATCTGACTTCTATCATAAAGCATCTTATGCAATCTTACACTAAGTGCCCTATAAAGAGAAAGCAAATGTATACATCGAATAAATAATTGCAAATATGTGTCTACAAAATACAGGAAGACTTGCAAACAGACAAACTAGTAAACACTAAAGGAAAAACAACATTCAGATATCCACTTAATGAGATGATTCTCCTTCCCCTTCTCCAGAGTGTAACTATGAAGCAATTTTAGCATGCTTTCCCAATATTCGAGATGCCCTCATCCTAAGCTGTTTATCTTCACATCCTCAGAGACAACCTTAAACACAGATGGGAAAGAAAAGACATTCAAAAAAGGTATATGTTGGGAAGAAAGGCTAAATTAAAGCTTAGTTGGAAACTGTTTTTAAGCATTTGTCTAGGTGAATACCCAAACAAATCTATTTACCTTTCACATATCTTCATAAGCACTCTTTTCTTATTCTATCTAATTACAAAATATGTGTGTTTAAGGAGTGACTTTCTTCCCCTGTGGCTCTGCAGTGAAGTCATTATGCTCACATTGTGACTTAGTAATCCTTCTCCTTGGAAAAGATCATTATAATAACAATAATATGATTACACTAGAGGGTCAAAGAGACTGATTTGTGAGAAGCAATGCTATTCTCCATGGGAGCTGATGGTTCTTAGATGGATAGAAGACTCCTCAACCATAATATCTCTGCCCTATTTAAGGAGCTAGCATATATTGTTCTTTCTACTTCCAAGCACAAACAATGACCAACACATACAATGCAACTGACTTCACCTCTAGATCTTCTATTATTCACTTCTTTCACAAGATCTTTTGATGCTATTTAGCTACTCTTTTTACAAAAGCTGCCACTATCAGGATCCATTTTATCAAGATTTGAACATAAATTAGAAACCATAGCTATCTTTATATTTTTAGCTAAAGTTTTGCATAGTTATAAGCTGTGTTGACTGTCATGGACCTTATCCTTGTGACCAGTGAGAGGTGAATATACAAAGATCCTTTGACAGCACTTTCCTTTCCTGGAAGAATCAATACCCTGAAGAGCTTTCGTATGAAAAGTTCCTCTGTGCAAAAAAATAAAAGGGGTCCTGAACAAAAGCAATCCGGGGAATGTAATTTTAAGTTGAAAGCCAACTCTCACCGAAGAGGCAGTATGGCTTTATGAGTGGAAATTCTGGAAAACAGCCTCTCTCTATATTCTCTATAAAGAAGCATGCTTTTTCCAGGACTCCCTCCTTTCTGATCTGACTGCTGAAGGGAATAGTTAGCCCAAAGCCAGTACTGGCAGACATAATGTGGAATTTTATCATCTTGTTTCACTGCTTTGTTTTTGACTTCTCAAGCACTTTTTATTACAAAACAGGATGGCATAAAAAAGACTTAAAATTTACACCTAGAACAATAATCTGGAGGCTGTTTCTTTACAAATCCCTTACCGTTCAACATGTCTTCAATAATAAAGAACACAGAGGATTAGTGGCAACTGGTGACTTTCTGTACGAAAGTGAACTAATTATTTTTTTCCCTTGTATTTACGGAGTGAGTTTTGAACGTGGGTAAAAAGAATCTATTTTATTATTATCTAATTATTTAGTTGTGATGATTTCACATTATCTTTTTATGGAAGGATTTGCATTCACTCAGCCACAGGCCAATACCTTTCCCCGGTAAGCCTTCTAAAGCCAGCTGTACTGCATGGTTTCAAACAGACTAAATTTAGCCAGTTCTGTTCATCAGAGGAATGCTGTGTGTCAGCTACATCAAAGCCCAAGGGCAGCCTGATAAACACTGAATACAGGTCACGTAGCTCTGTAGCTAACAAACTCTAAGAGAGCTCGTACTCGGGGGCATTCAAAGCAGTTTTGTCATCAACAATCTAGTATCCCCTGAGCCCCCATGTCGTTCCAGTTGCTAAGCAACGCTGGTGTTAATGTCTTAGAGGAGAAAAACTTACCAGGCATCTGGCCGTTCATCTGGTTCTGCATGTGTGGCGCAGGAGGGCCCCCACCTACCAGTCCATCTGAAGACATGTTGTGCGAGCGCGGGGGTGGAGGGGGGCCGCTCTGACTCATCCCTCCTGGACCCATAGGCATATTCTGTGTGGGTGGCTGGAAGGAGACAGTTTAGTCAAACAAGAGAAGCAGTTAGGCTGACAAATACATTCTATGTACATATGGCACGGTAGTTGCCTATATCGCTAAGCGGCGTATGAAAAAGCACTGAAAAGCGTTCCTTGCTTTTTCCAGTACGTTTAATTCAGTATTAATTTGGGCAAAACCTTTAGCATAGCCATCCATTTTACATGAACTATTGCAAGCGGGCAGCACCACGGTACCTTCGAGCATTGCTTTAAAATAAATAAAAACCAAATCAATGCCTCATTAAAAAATTATATCTGAACAGCCTAAGACTGCTAGAATTAGTCCTTCCCACACAAAGCTTTCCCTCGAAGCAGCGTTTGCTCAACAGAAAAATAATTCTCCCATTACAATTCCCTCCTATCAACAATTTGTTGCTGTTAACAGACCTTGCACCAGGACAAAGCAGGTACAACCAGAGATGAAAGCCTCTGAATGCTCATAGACGAGCAGAAATTTGCACCTGGGTGTGGTAAAATGCTTGAGATCTCTTCTCCTCTCTCCCCTGAAGCACTGAAGGCCTAGTTCATAATTTTGTGCCAAACACCCCCTACAGACTGGAAGCACATTAGTGCTGGCCTCCAAAGGTCCAGAGACAGCTGCCTAGAAAGGATGTTTTTGGCAAATTTCCTAATGAAATTGTGAGGAAAATAACTGAATAACCTTGAGAGTTCAAAGAGGGAGAGCAAGAAAAACAACAAATACAAGGGGGAATTTACTATTAGGTTCTACACTCGGCAGTGTAAGGAGGCACAGAAACTGCCAGTAGACAGTTTCGTTTTCCTATTAAAATCTCCTGTGAGACTGCACTATTCTCCTCATGCACCTTAGCCAAATGCTTCCAGGGGAACAAAAATTATCCGAGTCAGTGAAAACACTGGCCCCTGGCTTTTGAGCACCCTGTCTGAAGTTTATGCAAAACTCCTTCCCGTAAGACAATGATGGGAGGATTTTCCCCCAATTCACTTCAAAGAAAGAACCAGAAAGAGAAAATAAATCCTTACTTAGTACAGCCCCACTTATCACTAAACCTACGCATAAGGATGTTCATAATGACAAAGCATATTATGTTAAAAAGAGCAACTCTTTACACCTGAGTGTAAAGCAGGACCTGTTTTTTTGATTTGGAAATGGCAAATCTGCAGTAAGAGCACTAAGTAGGAGGATTCAGATCTCTCTGCTGACAGCAAGAGGACTGAGGGAATAGCAAGGAGCTGCATCAGGGAAGGGTCAGGTTGGGGGTTAGGAAAAGGTTCTGCACCTGGAGGATGGTGGGCACGGCCCTAAGCTGCTGGAAGTCAAGGAGCATTTGGACAGCACCTTCAGAAATATGATCTGAATTTTGGGTGGTCCTGTGTGGAGTCAGGGGATGGCTCAATGATCCTTGTAGGTCCCTTCCAACGTGAGATTTTGTATGGCTCTAATACACATGCATTACAGAGACATGTAGTCACTTCCTGGAGACAGGAAAGGAGGGAACAGCGCTAATTTATTCCCTCAACATTTCTTCAAATACCTCAAGCAAGTATTATTTTCCCTGCAATATTTTTAAAAATACCTCAGGAAATCAAAGAAAGGCTTTTCTGAGGAGGAGGAAGGAAGAAGATGAAGAAAAATGTAAATAAGTACATAGGTTGCTCTGAAAGTAATGCCTCCTATTTACTTCCATGGAAACTACAATAACTACAAACAGCACAATAACATTCTTGACAGAGCAAATCCTCAGCTACGAAACACTGTTTTTCGACAGTCATCACTAATAGTCCTCCATTTTTGCCAGTGATGAACAGGAGCCCGCATGCCTTGCACGTAAAAATCTACACCAGTGGAGGTGACCCACTGTTTCATAGTTGGTGTTGTTGGTGTATGATGGTGTTGTTGATAGGAAAACGTTGCCCATAGGCCCTGGTTTTATTGTTTTGCAAGAGAAAGTCTGTCTTCTTCTGTGGCCTGACTCCGTAAGTATGAGCCTTCAGCTCAGGTTGGTCAGAGTTGACGGTTTGCTCGGGTTCCAGGAAATATAGAAAGATTGCTCCTTTCCTACCCCAGAAGACAGAGAACATCACTTTACAGACTTATGGCTGCGTCTTCAACATTTTCTTCAGTGGGGAATTCACATCTCATCACTCCATGGCCTGCTGTTTTGACTCCAGCTCACAGTGGTGACACTACATCTCATCTCACGGTAATGTGATGTGATCCACAAACAGTGATCTTCAGCCTTGCATTGGCTCAACAGGTTCTCACAAACTTGCATATGGTGTTCTTTCTGTTCCTGTGTGAACATTCTTGGGACCACCTGGCACAAACTTTCTAGTATTCCAAGGTTGCCGCTGTTGTTTCCAACAAGCTGAAGTGGACATTTAGCTCCATGCACAGTTTCCTGGTCATAATTCAACAATTTATGTAGATTAATTGATCAAGGCACCCTTCATTTCATGGTGTCACAGCTCTGCACAGCCATTTGCAATAATGCCTTGTCTTGCTGCATGTGGCTGTCACCACTGCTGAAACATACCACCCACTCCTCACTGTGCTCACATCCACTGTTTGGTCTCCATAAATATTCAGCAAGCATCAACAAATATCAAATATGCCATTTTTTCTGTATGAGGGAACCCAAGGACACACTTTTTTTGTTTCATACTCGCTTCAGCGTCAGACACCATTCTGTCAGATCACCCCCCTGCTGCTGTCTGTGACACAGTAACAAAATGTAACAGAATACTGGTGGAAAGGTTCAATCCCTACCAAACAACAATATCACCAATATCTGCCTCTGATGCTACTGGCGAACATATTTAAATAGGAGGAATTAATTTCAGTGCGGCCCTCATAATTTATCTAGAGCAGCATCTGTGTATGCCAACAGCCCAAAGACCTGTGTGAATCCACCTGAGATTCCTGAACATAATGTAAACTATTATTTATATAATAAATAATATTATATTAAAATAATATAAACTATTACATGAAATAACCAGAAAGTAGTGAACACTATACTCTTGCCATAAAAACTAGTAGGACTGATCCTAGGAGCCACAAATCCCCCAGATTTGTGAACCCTGCTCTCCAAGCTACAAGCATATTGACAAAACCAAACAGAGAATGATAAAACTCCAAGAATGAAAGAGATGAGCCAGTAAACCATCAAGACAGGGAAGTTATGTCACTTTACTTCATTCAAATTCTTCAAAAATATAAATAAAAAACGCTTAGTTGTATATGCAACAAAAACTTCTAAATACGAGTTTTTTGACAAAGCCTTTAGGCTAAATATTGTATGTGGATATATGCTGTAATCGATCAGAAACTACTCAATGAGAAGAAAAAAGAAAATACACAAAGGTCAAAGAATAAAGGAACATACAGACATCTCTTGAAAATATTTAATATTAAGTGCCAACATCTGAAGGTGTTACAATATTAACTGTTCAATATTATGAAAGAAAAAATAAGTAGAACAGTGCTGGGTGAAATTCAAATGGAAAAAAGTAAGACGATTACACCGAGTTTAGAACCACTCTTTCTTCTGCAAGAACTAACACTGCAACTGATCTGGGAAAAAAAATGACAACTACCTGGAGAGCTTTGTGGGACAAAAATAGAAAAATTCCATTAAAACCACTCAAAATACATAGATCTACTTTCTGATCATCTTCAATGCTCGATTTAACAAAAGTCAGGTATAAAACATAAGAAATAAAATGCCGTGGCATTTGTGATAATAATACATGTTTGGTTCAGGGAAAGCAATCACAAAGAGATACTATAAAAGCAAAAGGACTCCAAAGACAGGCAATCAGTGATTAAAGACTTTGAATTTCTTTTACCTGAAACAAATCAAAAATGACAGATTTTTATTTTTACAGAGAAAGGAAATGAACATAAGAGGATATGTCAGAAATACAATTTAATGTATGATCTACAGAAAAAGTAGATCATCCAATTTATGTTTTAACAACAAAGAAAACCCCAGGAGAACAGTCAATAAATTGAGGAATAACATTAAACATATGAGACACCGTATAAATCACAAAAACCTGAGGAATTCATCAACACAAGACATCAGAACAAGGTTTAAATAGGATTTGGAGATAATTACACATACATGTATGTGATAGAGACAGTTACGTTATATATAATATTTTTAAAGGGTGCTGTAAGCTTTCATGTCAGGGTCATAAACCAATCAACTACCTGATAGCAATTAAAAAGAAGTGTCTCCAGCAGATATAATTATTCCCCTGTGAAATTCCTCTACAGCATCTTTCTGCTTGCCGCAGACGGAAGAAAAAGAAGAAAAAAATTGTTTTAAAATGGCAATTTCCCTGTTTCTATCACAGTTATTCCAAGCTTTCAGAGGTAAAACACTTCTTTTAAATCATCTTTAATTAAAAGGAAGTAAACCTAGGTCACTTAGCCTTCTTTTTCTTTTTTAAATTGACAGTTCCTGGTAATATACAGTAACCATGATAAAGACCTTCTGAAGTACAAAATTACCACAACATTCAAAAGCTAAATACTTGAATAAAAACGAAAATAAGGAAGAAAAAAAACCCAAAACTGTGAAAGCAAAGTGACTCAACTTGAACCCTGCACATTCAGTCATTCGGATAAGATCACATTCAAATGTCGTTAGGTTGAAAGAACCAGAGGAAAGGCTACTTTCTTCATTCTTCTGAATAAGAGACAGAAAAGGATGAATATTAAAATCTCCCCTAATTTTATTCCAATTATGAAGTAGAAAATGTTAAACAAATAAGAAGTAAATTAAAAAATTTGAAGTAAAATAAGCATTAAATGTACCTTTGCTTGCTAAACACTGATTTTTGGGTCACGTTCCCAAAAACAGATTGCAATTCAAAGACACCATAAGCATTTATGATTTATCAGAGCATGACAGAAAGTTTAAACTATGTTGCCTAATTGTGGAAAGCTAAACTAGAGTAAGACTGAAACTGGCCTAC